ACACAGCTGAATCCTGGAGATGCTGCTCTCTGAGAGTAAACATCACTGAGATCAGGAGGAATAATCATTGAGATGTTACTCTTCATAGACACATAGCTGAATCCTGGAGATGCTGCTCTTTGAGCGTCAACAGGAGCCTCCTGTTCTCTCTCCTCAGACACACTCATTTCACAGGCAGAGTTCATCTTTTCTTCCTCATTGATGTGAAACATGATTTTAGGTCTGTATGTGGAAACAGAGAACATAATGAATTTTGACACGCTGAAGTAAATAAAAAAAATAAATTAGATTTTACCCAATCTGTAAATACAACATTTAAAGCAGTACTATGTAACTTTTGGCGGTCTAGCGGATAATAAACAGAACTGCACACATCCCGCGGAAGAACATTCCAACCGGAGCTACTTCTCTAATGCCAAGTTCACACTGCACGATTTTCAAACTTGTTTTCACACTGCGTGACTATCTGGGGTAGCAGTCAGTAGTCGCTGCTGTGTTCACGTTGCACGATGGATCGGCGACAGGGGGTTTCACACTGCATGACTTCACAATAGGAAGAATCGCCGACAGCTCTGTCTGGTCCGCAAACTACGTTTCACAACAAAACACGCAAGAAGTGATAAGGAAATAACGCAAGAACCTGCGTCCGTCAGACCGGAGTTCTCGCAAGCTGATGATAGTAATGCGACAATCAGTCAAAACTCAGACCGAGTTCTGCATGACAAACATATTTATTCTGTGTCTCTTTTTGCTAAACATTTAGTTTGCAAAATCAGCAGGCTACATAAAAATTAGACTCGATTAAGAGCTGTTTGTGTGCAAAATAGAGCTGCATGATTCTGGATAAATTTAGATCTTTTTTTAATGGAGGTTATGATTTACTCACAACTCTGAAGAAAAAACATTAGACAACTAAACAAAACATTTAATTTATGAATGAATGATTCAATGACTCACTCAAGATTTACTTGTTACATTTTTATTTATTAGATACTAGTATTATTCCAATAGTGACTATTTCATTATACTTTACTTAAGAAAATTTAGAACTAGTATTTTTTTTTTTTAGTTTTTTTTTTTAATAACTATATTTGTTTTTTTTTTTGTTTTGTTTTTTAAGTTACAAGTAACTTTTTGGACCAAAGATATCCTGAACTTAATAGATGCTAAAACTTTTTAAATTTTCATTTATGGTCAGTATGCTAATAGTATGTTGAATATTAATAAACCAAGAGAATAAGAGAAAGATTAGAAAGGAAATTAAAATAAGGAGACAGAAAGAAGAATATTATGAGAAGGAAGGAGAAACCCACATACAAAAGGTAAACATAGAAAATGAATTTTTGTCAGTAATGTCAACACTAATTTTGTAAAAACAGTAGCCTAATGTGTTTGTTGGTCATTGTACGAGTGACCTCTTGTGGCAGGATGCTGATATTTTATTTACACCTATTTTATCATTTATTCTTTTCCTCTTTGTGCCATTATATTTCATTGTCTGGCAGTTTGCATGTTTCTTTAATGTTAGTGTTCATTCATTAGAATTGTTGTCCCAGTGATTCGTCACAGTCTGCAGGCGAATGTGCTGTATTAGAGACACTGCCCCTGTAGGCCCTTTCAGTAATACCAGTAAATTACCGTAAAATTACTGGAACAACTTTACCGGTAAATACAAAATTGTGCTGTTCACACAGGCAACAGAGTTGTCTTTTTACCGGTAAAATGCCATTCACACATCACTTTCAAAATACCGGTAAATTCTGTGACATCGTTAACTGGAAATGACCTCTAAACGGCTGCACCTCCCGGTGTTGTGTATGTAAACATGGAGGGGTAAACACGGTCAGTGATTTTGTTAATGTTTGACTGGAACTGTGCTTTACATTTCCGGTCTCTGGTGTTTCTACAGTCGTGGCCAAAACTATTGGCAGTGACACAAATTTAGTTTTTTGCAAAATATGCTACTTAAGCTGTTGTGGTGTTCATTCACATTGTTTCTACAAGTATTGGCAGTAACATAATCTAGAAACAATGTGAATGAACAGCTTAAGCTGCAAATTTAGCAAAACACAAAATTTGTGTCACTGCCAATACTTTTGGCAACGACTGTAGTCAAAAATTAATGTATTTTCCGAGCTGATAATATTACGTTAAACCTATGAAAATGGTGTTAAAAAGCACATGGTGCAATAGTTTCATCCAGGGGCGTCACTAGACCCTTTTTACTGGGGCACATGCCCTAGTGTAAATCTCAAGTTTAAGTTTTAACAATTTACTTTATTTGTCAGTGTATTCATTTACATTGATAATCGCGGCAAAAAAACTAACAAAAAAAAACTGGTCTATATGCAACGTAGTAACCTAATTCAAGCTTGAAAAGCGACGCAGTCGTGCACTTTACCCGAAAACACAAACTCGTGCCATCCTTTTGCGCAGAAATCCATGTCCGCGCGTCTGTTTCCTTGCAACAACTGCAGCACGCAGCTGACACGCGAATGAGGTAGGCTATGAAAACATGACCAAACTAACGCAAGTCTCTAAATAATATCGATCATCTTATTTTGACTCGATCATTATTTGCTCCTGTAGATGGACATCAGAATTTTTTTGTGCGAAGCAGGGAAAAAGGAATCAGAAAGGAGAGATGATGAGTTTGAGGGAGGTTTGTAATTATTCATTGTTATCATTGTGTAATGTAGAAGAATGCAGATATGCAAGAAAAAATTCTCTCGGTGTTATGTTAATGTTCATGTTAAGTATGTTAAAGATACTTAAATATTTTTAAATACATACATGTTTTCCTTCCTCGGTATTGTTGAACTGTAGGAATAGTGGTTTAAGCAACGGAAGTTTGTACAGTGCATTGTGTTGCACACTTATTGCACACAGCAGGCTTTCAAGAAAAAAAGTGATAGAAAAAGTAATGGGGGCCTGTGCCCTAGTAGAGCTTTAGGTTATTATTTCACGCACAGTATTTTAACTTAAGCACTGCGAGCCATGCTCATTTTCTTTTGTCATTGTTTATGCAAGGCATACAGCGTTGGACACGGACAGATTTGGTGATACACAAAACAAGTACTTCACAGAAATTCCTTAAGCTTATTGCTGTTACTGTGGCAACCAACAACATCACAGCTTAACCCTGCGCACATTTATATATTTAGTTATATTGAAAAAGTTTCAGTTTAATCAATTCAATAGATCTTTTTACATGTTGTTGCATCATGTGCGTCAGAATGTTATGATTGGCCCAGAGTAGACGTCTTATGTCAGCATGTTCTGAACTTGTATGTGTTCATACCGGTAATCTCGTTTTGTGTTCACACAAAGCATATTACCGGTAATTTACTGGTAATGTTACAACTTCTCATACTGGTAAATTGCCGGAACTAATTTACCAGTATTTTTTGAAAAGGTCCTGTTCACACATGATCTCTTAATGGTAATTTACCAGTAAAGACGGTATGTGTGAAAGAGGGCTAGTGAATGTACAAGCAAAGTAGTTTCGCCAATAAGACGACCATGGTTTATTGTAAGGAATTATAAATACTCTCCAGAAATGCATGATTTCTTGTGGTGAATGTCGTGAGTATTGTGGTTGTTTGGCTGGTGTGCATGAACTGGTTTTTGGACCTACTTAACTGCCAATAATCAAATCAAAAAGTATTTATGATATTTTCAAAACAATAAATATCATATTAAACATCTTTCCTTGTGTTTTCATGGTAACCAATTAGCCATATAAGCTAACATACAAAGCCAGGTAGGCCTACTTAACATCAATTTCATTCAGTATATTAATATATTGTTTTACCATGTGAACTCTGATTGGATGGTTGAAAGGTATTCATGTTTATGTAATGATCTGTTTGAATGAAGATATCTCCAAATACATTCTCACTAGTTCTTTATGAGTTAGAAGATATCGCCAAATAAACAGGTAGCAGTAGTTATTCTGTTTTTGATACCATCTATTAATTTTTGACTAGTAATCATTCCAATAGTGACTATTGTCTTTTTAAATATTACCAGTAAGCATTCATTAGATACTAGTATTTATTTATTAGATACTTGTACTTATTCAGTAGATACTAGTACTTATATAACAGATACTAGCAGTTATTCATTAGGTAGGCCTAGTTGTACTTATTTATTAGACACTAGTATCTTTTGAAATTATTACAAGAAACAATTTTTATCTTACTAGTCAGATCAGTTTTTTGCTTGTCTTATGTTATGACTAGTCCGAATGGCCACAGTTATAAATGTGTACTATCTATTAGGGATGGGCGTTATCTTATCGTTTGCGATATACTGGTAAAAATTCTCCCCATGATAAAAATTAGTCTTCTTGCGATAATAACGATAAAGTAGTTATTACACATATAAAGTAAGGTGGAAAATGGGTAAATAAATATAGATTGGGACTGTTCAGTTTACTCACTTGCATCAATCGGAGTGAGAAACAGGGAGATGTTTCATACATACGTTTCTTCTTTTTTTTTTACCTCATAATGTTAATCAAAGTAAAATAACTGAACCTTCCAGTGAAATGACAGGTTTTCTCTCTGGTGAAGTATGCAAGAATTCTCCAATCATTTAGTCGGCTTAAATTCCACCTCTCCAAGCTCACTTTCATCTGCAACAACCACCGCTCAGAACCAAGTCCCTGTCCTGCATTTATTTTGTATTAATCCATTACACTTAAGATGTATGTCACAATACAGAAGAAAAGATCTATTGCTACTTCTTTCTCATAATGAATTTAAATGATACTGCTTACCAAGGGGTGGTCCCAATACCCACACATTACGGATTTGGCCAATAGAGGGCGTGTGCACATAATAGGAAGTAGCTGTGCAAGACTGTCGCAGGTTTGATGAGAAGGGTATAACTGCAGCCTGGAGATCTCCAAATGGAGGAGGGAACTCCAAAATGGGGTGGAAGCTCCAAAATAGGGCGTGGCTTCCTCCCACTGACAGACAGGCTCATGACACGCATGCACAATTTTTTTCTCCCAATCCACTTCATTGCAAACTCCGCCCCACAGCTGATTCTAAAGATTGTATTGGTTGTGTCACTCACAGTGTTGATTTCCTACACTATGCTACAAAAAATGCTAACCCCTAAACCTACCCCACACCTGACCCTATAACCTTAACCAGTGAAATTGACTGCACGGCGGGATAGGCACTGAAAAGCGTGGTAAAGAAAGTTGCAGT